TTTCAGCAACCTGCTCCCTGGGCTGCTGCAAGCCCCAGAAAGCCCAGGCCAGCCCTGGCACGGGGAGGGGGGGACACGAGCCTGGTTAGCCAGAGTCGCTCTGGGGGAGTGGGAGAGAAGAGCGTGCGGTGTCCCACGCCACAGGCCCTGCGCCGCTGTCTGGAGCCAGAGACCGGCGGAGATGGGGAAATAACTGTGTAAACAGCTCTTCGCTCGATAAAGAATTCCCGGGTGTTCTCTACTGGGGACTCTCTAGCACCAGTCGTGGCCTCTTCCGAGGGGAAGAAAAACAAGCCAGTGAGGAGCAAAGAGAGTTTGGGTTTGGATTTAGATCTGCTCCCGCTGCGCTCTGCAGGGAAATCAGCTGTGGCCGAGATACCCCCCGGAGGGGCGAGCCGCGACACCCCGGCAGAGCAGCGAGGTGGCTGGCATGCAGGAAGCGAGATCAGTATCCCCTTCTCACCGGTGCGGCGTGCCTGCCTGCCGTGCAAAGCCGGCAGTGCCAAGCTCTGTGGCGTGTGGGGAGGGGGAGCTCCCAGGGAACAGAGGCTGGCTGGTTTTTCTTGCAGCAAGATGCCAGGGTACTTGGAACGGCTGAATTCTCGCCCATGGGATCAGCTGTGGGAAGGGACTCAGGCAGACTGCTCTGCAGGCGAATCTTCACGCGGTGGGGGAATAACCCTCTGTTACATGGTGAAGTCAGCACAAAACTGTCTGCATTTTCAGAATTACTGGCAGCTCTCCTGCCTTAGACGGCCACTTTCCTGTGCCTAGTGCGGAGGTCGTGGATGAGGTCCACGATGTCCGCACTAGACCAGCCTGGTCCCGGGAAGAGGCGGAGGGCTGGGTGGCAGTGGGTGGCTGGCTCGAGCTGTGCCAGGTGCAGGGTCTGCTGGCTGGGTGCTGGCAGGCTTGCACCTGGCACGGGCACCGTAGCCAGCCCGTGCCCCTTTAAGGGGTCCGGAGCCGGGAGGGGGGCAGAAGAGTTTCCCTGGTGGTGCCCAGAGTGGCCACCAGGGAAAGCTGGGGAGGGCTAGCCTCCCACTAGTTCGAATTAAGGGGCTACACAGCCCTTAATTCGAACTAGTTAATTCGAACTAGGCTTAGTCCTCGTGCAATGAGGTTTACCTAGTTCGAATTAATCGCTCCGCTAGTTTGAATTAAGTTCGAACCGCTAGCGCCTATGGAAGTTAGTTCGAACTAACGTCTGTTAGTTCGAATTAACTTTGTAGTGTAGACATACCCTGGGGTACTCCCTGGAGCGGCAGCTCGGATCCCTGCAGGCTCCGGGTAGCAAAGCGCCGTGTTCCCGGTCTGAGGCGCAGCCCTGGCCTGTGAGCCAGGCCCCTGCTGCCCTGCCCACTCGCTTCGAAGCCGAACGAAGGGACCGCCCCCTAACGGCCGAGGCTGGAGACTCCAGAGGCTGCCTCGCGTCTGTGGCGAGGCCCCAGGACCGGGGCTCTCTGCAGGCCTGCTGCAGCCAGCTCGCCCAGGGGGAGATCTTTGGCCCCGGGCGCAGTGTTTCCAGCAGTGGGGTCCAGCTCCGGGAACTCCCGAGAGGGGAACCGCACTGAGGCCGCCCTAGCCAAGTCCAGGTGTCACTGGCACCTCTTCTCCGCTGGGCCGGGCCCCGAGAGGTGTCTGCAGTGGGAAGCTAGAAGGAGAGAGGAGCCGGAGGAGGGTCAGAACAGGCAGAGGAGTGGGGGGGACACACAGGGCTACTTTTAACTCGCGTCCAGCACGTGGGGTAGCCCTGGAGCAGCTGGCCAACCCTGCGAGGTAGGGAGGGAGCCAGGCTCGCCTGGTCCTTACCGACCTTCGGTAACGGGTTGGCACGTGGCCCGGGAATCCCAGCCCTCCTTCTCAGCGGGGGAGAAGCGCCGTGTCGTGCGACTCTTGTCTGCTCGCTGAACAGCGCAAATCAAACGGAAGCAGGCGCGCTCCCTCGCTGGGCCGTGGTCCGGCTGTCATTACTGTGCCGGCTTACGTGGCTCCGTGGCGCTTGTGCTCCCAGGGTCCTGTTCCCTGGAGCCAATAGAAGTGAGTAACCGGCGAGCTCTTAGCTCTATTAATTCAGGCTTCTTGCTCACCCCCTGCAGGGCAGAAGCTAATGGCAGCATGAGCATGTTCTGATGGGGTTTGGATTAGTTCAGGTTTTCAGTGGAGTGTCTGGCATTATCCTCTATTACCTGTTTCCTAGGCAACAACAGGAAAGCTCATGAACAGCCAAAACCCAGTGCCTGCGCCTGCTGCCACCCCGCTCACAATTAACACACACGCTGGAAATGTCAAGGGAAGCTAAATATAGTCCGCGTGCCGCGTCTGAGTGCGCTGCTGCCCGTCGCAGCCCGGCAGCTGATTGCTGCGAGCACGTGGCGTCGGGCCTGCTCGGCCGGGCCCGCCAGAGGCAGGGCGCCAGGGATTTCGCTGCGGACATGCTGGGCGATGGCATGGCCACGGGCGATTCCCCAGGGCACTGCCGTGTGTCCCTCCCTGTGCTGGCGCGGCCCCCAGAGCCGGGGAGCGGTTTACTCTGAGAAGCATCCGCCTGGCTCCTCTGGCGGAGAGCTGCCAGGGGG